CCGAGATAAAAATGTTCAGTCTCTCAGAGTCTCTGAAAGCGAGACTCGAGTCTCCGTCTCTCATCGAGTCTCTCTGGTGTCGCTGAGAGAGACTGTCAAAAAAACTGTTTAGCGTCTCTGAACGAGAGACTTGAATCTCTGAACAAGACACTCGAAGCTCTCAATAAGTGGTGTCTCGATAGACATGGTTAAAATTTTTTAAGTTCAACATATTTCAGAGATCCCACTCTTTCTACGAGAGACTCCAGTCTCTCAATTTTTCAGTTTTATTCACTTAGTCTCTCTGTGAGAGCCTCGAATATCTGAATTAACAATTTTATTGTTCGAGTGTTTCATACAGAGGTTGTAAGAGATCCATAAAAACACCTAGGAAATAACTGAGAGACTGTAAAAGACTGTGAGAGACGCACTCAAAGACGCTGAAAGACTCTGAGAAACTTGAGAGAGACTGAATATTTTTGTCTAGGGAAGTGAAAAAATTGTAAAGGATTGATTAATATGCCAGTAAATTCGATAGATAAATATTTATTTTTTATCGATACATACCCTTCTAACTGTAAGGTTCTATTCTCTTTAGAGAAGTTCTCTGCGTATAAACATACTGATGTGGTAATTGACTCAGTTACCCAATAAATCATGACATTATCCAATAGATCGTCCAATTTAAATTTCCTTTCTAAGCCACCATCTTCCTTCCCAATCAAAGAATGATCAGTCCAAGATATAAACTTTTCTAAGATATATGCTGCCAAACCAACTGGAGTATCATTTAAGGCGGTTCCTACAGTGATGAGAAACATATGTTAGTAAAATAGTGTTTTATAAAAATTGTTTACTAAAAATAAAAACAAATAAACGAAGATGTTTATAATGGTCCTTACCAAGTATGTAATAGTTACAAGGAAAATAATTATCGAGAGGGCAAAGGTTATTGTTATTTCAATAAAAGTCTTCCTTAACATAGTTAAGGAATATAATAGTAATAATAATAATAATTTCCTTAATAGTTATTATAGACTATTTCGTGATGGTTGGCTTTGTAATGTACTCTTTAAATAAATAAAGATAATTAAAGTTAATCTTACCAATTGTGTCAGGTTTCGTAGCTTGCAGGTGCATATATCCAGTTTCAAGTATAAAATTTCCAAAAAATGTTTTTAAAGGGTATACTCTGTGTTGATTTGGTTTATCGACAACCCAAGAGGGGTAGAAGCTCCCTAGGATTTGTTTTATGGTTGCCCAAGGCGTTCTAGCATATGGCATGTTACAATGAAGTCCCAACACGTTTTGGGGAAACATGGCGGCTATGTTACTAGTAATAATGGCACCCCAATCTCCACCTTGCACGTAAAACTTTTCGAACCCCAGACGTACCATGAGGTTCTTAAAGATGACAGCTACCTGAGGGGGTCCTAAACCTGGTCTTACAGCCGCATCTGAGAATCCATATCCTTCAAAGAAAAATTTAGGATTAGGCTCTGTAATTTTTTTAAGTGAAAATGTTCGAATTCTTGCAGACAAGTTTCATGTGTGTAAGGTCGTGGGTGATTTCAAATGAAAGCTACATATGTATGACTATACAAAAACAGAAAAGTATGTATGTGTGTCCATATGACCAAAAGTATAGACATATTTTAAGACTTAGGTACAGATGCTTCGAGAGCCTCTTCGGTTTCCATTCTTTCTATGTCAGTACGTGCAGAATCAAAGCCACTACAGGGCAAAAATAATTTGTTTCTTCAAAGAGAAAACACCAATGGAGACTTTGCACCAGGCAGGGACGTTACTAAGGGATAGCCTTTACGGGCTCATGTATTGAAAGCTCTGGTCCATGTACTGGCTCAATGTGAATATTAACAAATCCGATATATATAACGTAAAATCGTAAAATTTGAAGTAGCAAGCATTCAGCTTCACATCAGCTAAGACGCTTTGACTGGTGCAAAATAATGCGGTCTTACTTTGTCTAAATCTAGAGCCGTGATTATTCCCCTCGATGAACAAGTAACATGATTGTTACTTACCTAAGAAACTGAGGAGAGATCGAAAACGGCATAAGGGGAATGAACATTTGATCTGAGAGCATTTAGAATTAGGTCAGATTATACATATACATGTTTTGAATACTTCAGTTAGCGGCAAATGTCAGTAGATGACGATACTGCCAGCATCAGCAATATATAAACAGGCTTATATGGAGCATCCCACCAAGCGGCATAGCCTAGGTTTAGATCATTCCTTAGCATTCGGGAGGACGCTGATTCGATTCGGGGTCTGTCTGCCTTGGTCCAAGTTTTTCTGTGATTTCCTTGGATCACTTAGGTAAATGTTGGGGCAGTAATTACTATCCACTCATTCCTACGATTCCTGAAGGCAGGCTGAACAGGGCTTTCCGCCTTACCTTATGTCATAGTCCGGAGGGCTGCCCGCCCACCAGCATTAGTGGCTGGTGGGAATGAAACATCCAAAAGTGTTTTTTTGAGTATCGTCGGTTTGATTGGTGATTTATCGACATTGTTTATGGCGTGCTGATGAGATAAAATAAGATCGATATGGAAATTACTTTGGTTAAATTTAAAAAAAAAGCATAACCATTACTCAATAACTGATACCAGATTAGAAAGTGTAAAAAATTCAGTAGTTTGTACCAGAGAAACTAATTTTGCAATTGTCTCCTGGACTTCCTCTGCATCCAAATATATCAGGGACCAAAAGAATAGAAACTTTCGGGAGAATAATATATTTCGAAACCATTTTCTGTGTATTTTTAATAATTACCTGGTAAAGATGGAACAATAACTTCGAAGACAAATTTCTGGTCTTCTCTTGGTGTTGTTAATAGTGGAATGAGATTGTAAAATTCCCTAACAGATCCCGGCCATCCGTGAAGGAGTAGAATCGGAAGCACTTGAATGTCTTCAGATACGGCGGTAGTTGGTTTTACATGAATAAAATGTATATCGAGTCCCTGGATTTTGGTTTTGAAATGGGGATATTTGTTCAGCAATGTTTCGCGTTCCTTCCAGTTGTATTCGTTTTTCCAATATTCCACAATTTTGTTAAGTAGATTTGTGTTGATCCCATATTGATGTTGAACGCCTTCTAGGGGTGGAATAAATGGTCTGTGACGGGAGAGACGGTCTTTTAAATCGTTGATAACCTGTGAGAAAAGGCGTAAATACTTAAGTGTACGGCTAATTGACAAATAATTAAGCTAAATCTATTTAAAATGCTGGGATTTGTGAAATATGTGTGGATTAATTGAAATATTCAAAAAGTATTTCTAATTGGTTGATATTTCAATACTGCTTCTTACAACTGGTATTTGAAAATTCAAACGTCCAAATGGTCAAAGTAATTTTTTCTTCGACAGTACACCTAAAATGTACGAAAAATTAGAAAAAGAATTGCATCATTTGTGTTTGAAACATATAATTTATTTCTATTAATTACTGATTACTTTTAAATAAAATAAGCGTTTATAAAAGTGAATAGATTTACATTTGTTTTTATGATNTAACCCGATGGTTTTTGAAAACGAAATTTGCTGTTATTTTCACTCCCATAGTTGGCTATCTTTTATCACTCAGGAACTCATTTATTGGGACATCCTCTATAGCGGTTCAATTTTATTTAAAGCTACCTCCTTGCTAAAAGCTAATACTGCTATATCATCTGTAAATTTAAACATACTAATCTTTTACCCCTCCTCAATGGGGTGGCTGGTCGTGACTACTCATCGTCAGATAAAAATATCTGTATTTAATCGTTCTGAAATTGTTTTTTATTTTTTAGGTGTCACTAAACCTAAATACGATATCCTAACTAATATTATATATAAATGCGAATGTGAGTTTGTTTGTTTGATACCATTTCACGCGTTGACTGCTCAATCGATTATCATAAAATTTTGTACACTTATTGTCATGGATACAGAAAAGGACATAGGGTACCTTTTATCTAGAAAAAATACTGTTTCCGAGGGATAGAAAGAATTAGTTTTACGTGGTCGTCGATGAAGTTTCAAACGTATGTACAACTTCAACGCGAGGGAAGCAGGGGGTGTAAATATGGGATGAAGTTTTGTACACACAATGTCAGGGGTACAGAAAAGAACACGGGGTACCAGTTATCAAAAAAAAAACTGTTTCCGAGGAACAGAAAGAATTAGTTTTACGTAGTCGGTGATTTTCTTTAATATATATTTAGGACATTAACGCGAGAAAGCCGCGAGTAAAACCTTAAAATTTTGTACACACATTGTTAAGGGTACAGAAATAATAAAATAATTAAAACTACAATAATCTAGATAATTGCCCAAAATTGCCAAGTTGTAGTTTATTAATTTTACAGATGAATTCCTAGTTGAGCATTCACTCAGTTCTATTGTAGTAAAAGTTCGTGAATTGATTGGATAGGTTAGGTTGGGTTGGGTTACACATCTATCATTATTTATTACCTGCTGCGCATTGAACTGGTTCGAAATTTTCTGTATTAATATTTATTGGAGGTTTATCGAACATAATGTCATCTTTTTTATCACTTTTTGGATTTCTTTTCATAAGTCTTTGAGGTCCGGTTTTGTGAGATCCGCTCAAAAACCATGGACAACCATTACCTGTATCGGTATCATCGAGGGCTACAAATAGCCCTACAATTTTTGCTGGGTCACATATCATGTAAGTTGTATCCTGGTGAACAGGAGCTAGAACAAGTAAATGCTTATTTTAATACGCTTGTATCTTATAAAGATAGAGACGAAAAATGGCCTCAAATGACGATTATCAAAAAATGCTCAGCGAAAGATTTGAAGAACTGGCTGATTTTAGGTATCTAGGAAGTTAGATACGTCAGGATGGAAGGAGCACTAGAGATATAAATTAAAGGATAGCGCAGGGTCGAGTCGCCTTCAATAAAAAAAAAGTCATTTCTATGCTCGTGGACGGTTAATTTAGAAATTCGAAAAATATTGTTAAAGGTGTATGTTTGGAGCGCGGTGGTGTACGAGTGCGAAACATGGACAGTGGGGGCGACGGAAAAGAAAAGGTTGGAAGCGTTTGAAATGTGGTGTTACAGGCGAATGATGAGGATACCGTGGATGGAAAAGGTTAGAAATGAAGAGGTATTGGAAAGAATAGGAGAACAGAGGGCTCTATGGAAGTCAATAAAAAATAGGCGAGATAGGTTGGTAGGACACCTTCTCAGGCATGAAGGTCTAGTCAGCAACATAGTAGAAGCAAAAATAGGAGTTAAGAGGAGTAGAGGTAGAGCTAGATTAGATTTCAATTCATAAATTGTTAAGAATGTGGGATGTTCTAGTTTTAGGGAAATGCGAGGATTAGCTCAGGATAGGAAGGAGTGGAGGTGCGTTTCCAACCAGTCTTAGGACTGAAGACCTTATAATGATGAACACTTTTTTATTTTTTTCATGAAGGAAAGATTACATATATGAAAGTGTATATAATGGGTACATTTCAGGCAATATTGTAAATGCAGACTCTGATGAAGTTATGAAGTTATATAATTTTATATTTCACATAACTCAAAATCGTACGTCAGGAAGATCGTCATGCGCGGATTAATGCATAAATGAAGTTATTTCAAATTGAAACTCATTTTAACTTTACAGTTAACAATTTTTCATGTGTTTTGAAAACTTAGAAGATACAATTTAAACACTTGAATTTAGTCAAGTCCAGACCTGTCGTTTCATTCACCTATTCGACATCCTAGACGACCTAGAGGTCTCCTGCGGTACGGTTGTTATAATAAGTGTAAAGCAGATATTCTAAAGTTAGGAAAGATACTTTGAGAGTCAATTCTCTTATTTCTTAGAGGCTACTATACCTTTAACTAAAAGCTGCATAGATTTTTAATTTTAAAATTTCCCATTAGTTTCTTTTTGTTGAATGGAGTTTTGGTCTTTTTTATTTATAACAAAATAATAACAACTAAATACCTTTCCTACAAATGTGTAGGCAACACATACTTGATCGTTGTAAAGAGTGATATTGTTTACTGTTTCTAGATTGATTTAAAAACCGTGTTCACAAGGTGAACGTGTGCGCATGTAAAACTTAATTTTCATAATAATATTAATATATAAATAGATAATATTTACCAGCAGGGCTTTTTCCAGTAAAGTGCAATAGACTTTGTACAACAACGGGGTTTTCGTAGCCGATTTCTTTGAAAATATTCCTCACTTTACTATTGAAAATCTGTTCCCTCAATACTTTATTTTTATGTAAACAGTAACCAATAATTTTTATTCCTACATCAGGTTTCATAAGGAGTTCTCCGTTGTATCCTAAAGCGTTGGGCTTAAAGAAATAGTCTATTTCATTGCAACTGTTAAATCGCACTTGTTGCTGAAAAATAAAAATATACCTAATTAATATCGAAACTTTTATAAATAGAGATATATTCTTGGTTGTTATTGTTATCATAGACCTAGATATATATATATGTACCTATATAAAAACAAAAGACAAAATATTTACTGTGCAGAACTGAATTTGGGTATGTGGGTCACTAAATATTATTCAAATCACAGTAAACATTTTACTAAAAACAAATAAATAATCAGAAAAAATATTCTAAAAATAATACAGATAAGAAATAGAAACCAGGTAATAAACTTTTTATAAGGCAAACGAGTAGACCCTTAAGATATGTTTTGACGAAAAGAAGGTCAAACATTCCGTTGAGCTGCGCTTATTTTTCCCTTATTCAATTTTTCACCGGTACAACGCCGTGCTCCAAATATACACCTTTAACAATATTTTTCGAATTTCTAAATTAATCGTTCACGAACATAGAAGTGACTGCTTTTTATTGAAGGCGAAACGACCCTGCGCTATCCTCTGCTTTATATCCCTACTGCTCCTTCCGTCCTGACTTATCTGACTTCCTAGATACCTAACATCAGCCACTTCTAATTTTTCGTCTCCTATGAAAGCTCTTTCACTATTTCTTCTTCACTTGCATATCAGTATTTTTGTTTTACTTTTATTTATTTTCATACAGTTCTATTTTGTCAATAGCGGTTCAATTTTATTTAAAGCTACCTCCTTGCTAAAAGCTAATACTGCTATATCATCTGTAAATTTAAACATACTAATCTTTTACCCCTCTATATCTATCGCTACAGTTGTACTATCTTTAATGATATTTGACCTATATCTATATTTTAATATACCTATGGTGATAACCTACCTGCTCAGGAGTTGTAGGATCAAACTTGACTCTATCTTTCGGTTTGGGCAGATTTTCAAGCAATTTTTGTACTTCATTTTTCAATACACTTAATTCATCTCGACTAACAAAGTTTTGCAGAAGAGCAAATCCATTACCTTTCAACTGAAAATAAAATGCCATATATACCTACTATCTGTTATTAATATACGTTAGTGTCTGTGAATGTCTGTTAGGTTGGCTTTCGTCAATTTTGGTGGTGTAAATCCAAAATTGTTTAATGAATCTTTTTGAATCGGGCAGATACGGACGAATGTTAGTATACACCAAGACGATTCCGTAAATTGTAGATACAAGGATTTATAAATTATCTGAATGCCAATGCTTGTTCGAAAAGCGAGAATCAAAATAATTGATATCTATATAGGTACTTCTTCAACAAAAATTTCTTTGTGTAAAATTGTTGCTTTGGAATCAAAATTTATTAGTATAGAAAAATACATCACAAAAAAAAGCAACTGTAGAGCCCGTGGCATGTTTCGTAATTCTAAGTGCTGTATAGCCATTTTCCATTTTCCGATGAATAAGATGATATTAAGTATTTTTTGCAACAATTTGTGACTTCATTTATATCTGCCCATCATTAGTAGTATTCATAATTTCATCCATAATAAAAATAATTAAGATTAACCAAGTCGTCGTGGTGCATGTTAACATTAACCGACATGTGACCGAAATTGTCATCAAAAATTAATAACAGCTAACCTGGTGGTTGTTAACATACACTCGTCTGTACCTCGGAAAGTCACAGTAACATAACTTACCTCATCAATACACGTTTTGGCAAGGGAACCCAATCGAGGTAGCTGTATGGAAAGCATTTTTAAAACTGTTAATTTTTCATCTCAGTAGTTCTATTTGTAGTGTATTGTTGAAGCATATAATTACACAAATTGTTTCTTAGATTAATCAAAGTGTTTACGTTATCATTATTTACTGCACAATTCTAATACAGATTGTCCCACACGTTGAAATTACCTTTATTATTTTCAAATGTAGTAATCCTGTGCAGGATTTATTTAATTATAGAAAACTAGGCTTTATCTGCGGCTTTGCTCTGGTTGATGCCCTACATGGAGAAAACTAAATTTTTATGACAACGCAAAAATTACAATTTTCGATTGTAAATGACTGAATTTACTGTAGAAACAGTAGAATTTATTAGGTAATTTGTAATAATCTCAATTTTGACATGTTACTTTAAAAATTATTCAAGTTTCTTAATTATTACAATTAAATTTGTAATATCAACTAATAAATACCTAGTAAATTTATTTCTGCTAGGATCTTATTTTTACAAATTCGAGTCCAAATTGTAATTTTTATTATTTTCGCGTACCAAACAACGGGATAGTGGGATAAATTGTAAATATCGCTTTAATATTTCAGTAGATTTTCTTTTTTAATTTTCACAGTGTAGATACGTGTTAAAGAGCGTCGACGACCATATAAAGCTAATTTTTCTATCCTTTGGGAGTGAAATTTTTTTTTTTTAATTATTTTGTCCCCTGATAATGTGTACACAAAATTTCATGATAGGTTTTACCCACAGCTTCGTATTGATGTCCTAAATACTTGTCAAAGATCATCGACAACCATATGATATTGATTTTTTTATCCCTCGAGTACAGTATTCTCTTTTCTGGGTAAAAGGCACCGGATGTCCCTTTCTGTTGGACAAGTGTTTAAATTTTCATGATGATCGGTTGAATAGTTAAGGTGTGAAATGGTAGCAAACAAACAAATAAACAAACAAACAAAGACACAAGCATACTGAAATAGTCAAAATCATTTTACTACATGGTAAGTTAATAATTTAATATCTGGTACATAAAATGGCACTCGTTTTGGTGACGACTGGCGCAGCATTTTAGTAATTAAAAGAGCAAACCATAAAAACACTAAAAATGTACAACAAATGAATTTAAATAATTTGGAAATTGGCAATTGTTTCGGTTAAGCCTTACAGCTTTAAATAAAAATCTTGGAATTCCCATATAAAATGGGTCAAGGATTGGTTGGAGCAATGTTCTGTTGCATGTGTTTTTTAAATATAAAAACTTCGCGATTGTTAGCCTAAATGTAGAGAGCTGAAATCTTATCTCATTTGTTTTGAAATTGTCCCATAAAAGTACTTCCAAATTGTATATGATTAAAACTGTAATAATTGCATTGTTATTTATGTAGTTTAATTACGCTTCCGATAATTGCTTCTTACAGTTAGCAGAAGTAATTAAAGAGATGATTTAGTGCTTTTGCTTGATGCTTTTCGTTCAATTATTATGCTTTCGTTTGAACTTGTTCCCTAAAAGCACTTCCAAAATTTCTATTACTAGATGTACGGCCAAAAGCTTTATATTAAATCATCTTTCTTTTATAGAACAATTTCGGTTTTGTTGTTGAATTGTCGAAACCGTCTATCGGGTGCTGATGTGAACTAATAAGTTTAAAATTCGCATCCACGGCAGTACTTTCGATTTTCGAACGAGAACTTTATTGCTTTACGAAACCTTACACCTCAAACGTTTACATCTTCCTTTATTAATGTTTAATTCCGTTTGGTTTGTTTAGAGTGAGTACCAGTTCGTAATAAGATCTTTTCAAATTGATTTTGTAGCTATATTTACTGAATCCGGATCCTAACCCGATGGTTTTTGAAAACGAAATTTGCTGTTATTTTCACTCCCATAGTTGGCTATCTTTTATCACTCAGGAACTCATTTATTGGGACATCCTCTATAATAAATAAATGGATAGAAGTTCATTAAATAAAGAGAGAGATAGAGAACTTAAGCTAAAAAAACCCAAGTAAATACTGTAATTAAAGTAAATGATGTATTATCATAAAAATTGTTTCTCCGAAAGATAATCAAAACACTGCAAAAATGTGAGTAAATAATGCGGCACGTTTTCAAGAATGTTTTCCTTTTTTACGTTTTACAAAAATAATATCTTATACTACTTTGCATAATCAAAAGTATGCACATTTCTACTGTTATTATACCTATTTATTCGTGATTGCAAGGATACTTCTAGCAACTTTTCAAGGTTTTGATATTTTAGAGATATTTTTGGATGTTATTATTGTTTTCTGAAATCTTCAAATAAGAACGGATGGTAGACGGGTAATCTTATCGAAAACGGTTTATTTGCACATAAACTTAATTTACTCATACGTCTATCTGTATACTGTTTTATTATGTTTTTGAGACAGACGATTGAAAATAAGACGCTTCCCTATTCCAAATATTACATGTAAAATTATTCTGAAAAATGCATTCGAAATTATTGTATTAGTTTATTGAGTTCACGCAGGTTGTATAGGTACAGGCAAGAGTTATCTATCTATATATCCACTTGGTTGGTCATGACGAAACTCGTCATTTTTCTTTTAAAAATTGTAGAAAATCGGCAAAAGATACATGAATTTAGTACTTTGAAAAGTATAAGGTTTTGTAAAATTTTACTCGACTATACACGGAGAAAATCAAATTTTTATGACAACGCAAAAATTCTTTCACTTATTATTTATCTAAACTGGTGTTTGGTGGTAGATTCGCAAACTAAAACGCCACCAGACTAGAGAAATCTTGAACGTTATAGGAGATTTCAAATATCTGGTTTATACTAGAACATTCTACTTCGGACATTCCTAGATATTCTTAGACATTCGAGAACATTCTAGGAATNTGAGGCCTATTTTGAAGCAAAGGACAAATCGTACTACAAAAATGGTATCGAAAAGTTGGAGGATCGCTATAATCAGTGTATCACCCTTGAAGGGAATTATGTTGAATAAAAAAAACGAATTTTGCAAAAAAAATGAGTTTTACTATTTTAGGCCGGGGACTTTTCAATTGACCTGTTATAGTGGCTAAAAGTATCCCTCTCACAAAAACTTGAAAAAAAGTTAGGCTGTAGTAGGAAAAAGATCTACCTCTTCCCCACAATAAAGAAAGAAAATCTAACCGGTAGTTTCATCTTCTACACATTAATCCTTTACTTATTTATTCCATTTTTTATGGCTACTCCTCACGCCTCCACCCCTCTGCCTCTATCTAAGAATACTCTTTTGTTTTCTACAGGAGGTTATCCGGCGGAGAGATTGGGGTGGCGTTGAAGTGAGATAAATGAGACGAACAAAATGGAGTTAGAAGAAAAGAAAAAGATTATATTTTTTGTGCAATAGTATTACTGCCCCAGCGTTTGTTTAAGTATAATCCCTGAATCTAGGGATTTATAGATCATGCCGCTCGCTCCTTTTACATACTCTCCTCCGTTTAATCCATTTTCAACTCTCATAATGGCTTCCCAGGGCCTAATATATATATATATATATAAACTTAAAGAGTATCTTCCGCACCCTTAAGCATCTACTTTTATTCTAAACAGTAATAGTCTCTTTAGTATCTTGAAGGTAAAACATTTCTTGTGAGTGAATATTTTTCTGGAATCCTGACTCCATCGTTTGGTTTCGTTACATTTTTAAGTTGTTCTCTATTAAAGCGTCACCATAACTGGGAAGCGATTGCGGTTTACCGCCCCAGAGCCGTTAAAGGGCTTAGGTATCTAGATCAGCAGGACACAGGCAGGTTTGGTATCAAGGAGGCACCTTGAGATTCCTCGCATTCTCTAGGCGGATTCTTTAAAAAAAAAATAGCACCAGCCTTTCGATAACGTTCGCGTCGTGTGATGATGCGGGCGAAACCGACCTACCTGTCTGTCTGTCTGTCTCTGAAGACGGAAGTGAGACGCAAAGAAAAAGAGGTGGCCATCGACAAGCAGCGAGCAATACGATGGAGGTAAGGGTAACAGGTGGCCCGCTTATTCCATCGCTTTCTTCTTCTTCTATCCACGGCCTCTAGACTTCTTGTAGGTCCAGTTAGTCGTTAGCCGAATGCCGGCAAACATATTCACGCAACAGGTACACCAATACACACAAACACATACAGAGCCGTTACGACTAAGCCGAGTCAATAGTGAAATCTTCGCGAGAATTTTCGACTAAGAAGTAGGACGATTTATTTATTACCGAGGTGTGATTGAAGATTCCAAAAAAAAAAAAAATAGAACGTCGTGGCTGCGGGTGGTGTCTACCAGAAAGGTAAAAAAGGACCTTTTACCGTCGATATGTCGCCGGCGGACAAGTGCGGGTTGTGGTGGTCCGAAAATGTTTGTATCAGGATGATTTTTATTGCTTTTCTTCTACTTGCTGGAATTAACGACAGAGCTTTGGGTAAGATATTTTATAGAAAATAAACGACTTTAAAAAAGGGTTTATTACACTTGGCAATATTGTTTCGCCAAACTTTGGATTCTTCAAAGTTGTTTTACTTAACTTGTTAATATACGCTGAATTACTCTTTCTATACCCTGCATTTTTTGTTTTATTTTGGTTGCTTGCTTACTGTTTTAATTAATGTTTCGATATTGTTTATACATTTGATATTCATATTTATATATTTATTTATTTATACCATACCATATCCGAAGTAATAATAAGTATATTTGAAAAATTTTCCTGAACTGTTTTTAGAATTTTCCGGAAAGCTAAAATCCAAAACGATGTCATCAAATAAAAATTTGAGTTAGTAAGAAATTGTAAAGAGTCAGATTGCTATCTTTAGATTCATATAATTAAAGGTCAATTATATGTGCCTCAATCTAAGAAACAGTTAATGACCGAAAGCAACGGTTGTTAATGTTATAAAACGAAATTACAAACAAAATATTTTTATACGATACATATGCATTACACATATTTGTATAGTTATACATATTGATCAATAAAGCTCAAGTAACTGCGATTGTGTTTAACATGATTTAAATTTTAAATTATGGCTATTTATCCACATCTTCTTCTCAGCA